AATTCGTGCGATCCGCCACGATCGGCTCGCGAAATCGCCTGGAATCACTTTCGCGCGAGCCTATATCCTATGCGAATTCAGCCCACGGGACGAAAACGATCAATCACTATTGTAGAAAAAATGTTAAAAATGTCTATCTACTATTTCGCGCAATTTTAGACTCCGCTCTGAATTTACACGCGTACATATGTATATTCTTAACATCCAAACGACAGTTTAAGAATTTCTAAAGAATTATTATTGACGAGATACTTGACTTATTATTGAAAATTTAATGAACAACGGTCATCATATCTTTAGCTTTTCGGGCCACGATTTGTGTGAGAAGATCTTTTCATATTTAAAGTATTCTCGGATACGTCGAATCCTTCCGCGAAGTTGAATGACTTCCATCTGTCGTGCTTGAAAATACTTATAAAGAAACAGAGCCTTAATTCTTAACAACTGGAGCGTGGATGCTCGTTGATTGTTTGTCGCGGGCGATACACGCGATGCGAAATCCTGTTATCCGGCCGGCTGATTTTCAGCCGGGGCGCGAGAAGCGTCTTCTCGCGTCTCAGCAGCGCTACACGCGGAGTTTAATTAAGCGTTGTACCTGAAGTGAAATGCACCGGTGTAACAACGAACGGCGGATATCTAAAGCCCGGCACGTAAATTACAGGTAAAGGCGCGCGCAAGACGCCCTCGAGAGCGGGCTCGAGTTCACGCCGGCACGCTGCTAGTAATTAACTCGAAGGGACGTTACAGTTCCTTCCGCCAAACGCGTCCGTTTGCTCGGAATTGTTTAACCGCCACTGCGCCCGCCCATGTTTCACCATATCGATCGTTATACAATTGCAATTGCGTTCTTTCATCTCGCCAATTTTTCGCCTCAAACTTTCCAAATCCTGGAAACCGTAGAATTGCGATATTTTAGAAGAATGCTGACATTTTTACAGTTTAAAATGATTACTTGAACGTGACACATTTGGTAAAAATTATTTGAATTTTTTATTCTTACGATTAATGACAAATATAAATAATTACATATGCGTGCTTCGGTTAGAATCTTTTCTGTATACGAAAACAAGACTGCTTGCTTTTATTAAAGCGTTATGCCAACTGGCTGTCAGCTGTCTCTTCTATATGGCACATATATATGCTTCTGTTGAGCGCATTGCCTGCGAAGTGACAAGCTGGGATCGCCGGAGGAGAAATTACCTGTCGAACAGGTGCGCGAAAATGCAAAAAAAGGAAGCGTGCAAGTGCGATTCCGTGGAACCAGGGTTCCTAATATCATTCCATCGACACGCGAGACACAGTGCTTAAACACAGATGTATTCAGTCATTTTCGAGATATATCGATTCTAATCTTGCGCCTATATCCTTCTCTCAGAACGATTTTCGATATAAAACAATTCAGATAGATATTAGACACACAATTTTCCGAATTTATTAATAAAAATCATTCGACGAAACAAACTTAATTCAAAAACATCTACATGATATTTCAAAATTGCTTATTCTCGACTGCGAATGAATTTAGAAGTTCTTTAAAAAAAATTTCAGGACCAATTTTCTTGATATTTAAATATCTTTGTAATTAGAGCTTAGGAATAAAGAAGTGACGTTAAAAAATTCGCTTAAAACGCTATAGCATGCTTGAGAAGTATCGTGTCCCGAGGATACGTTCTCGAGGATACCTTCGCGCGAACACGCGTTCACGGACAAGTGTCTCGCGGCTGTGTATCGTCGATCGAATGTATACGTAACCGTTGTTCCGCTATCAAAGAGAATCAACGCGCATCACGCAACGCTAATTTGTCTTCGATTGCTCGGCCACGTCGGACCTTCGTAGCGTGGGAGATTTTGTTTGTCCCTCGCTCCCACAACGAGCCTTCATTTTCACGAATTATCTCGTAAACGTTTTAATCAACCAAACGGAAGAAATTAAAAATTTCATTTTTACATATATCGTGATTAATTTAATATTTCTTTTATCAGAGTGTCCAGCAGCAGACTCAATGAAAAAATTCCCTGACTTTTTCAGATTTTCCAAGACCAGACATTAATTTTTTCCCTGACCTTTTAGTACTATTTTTTCCACATATATAATTTACATATATATCTATACGTTAAATCATGAAATCTTTGAGATATTGTTGTCAACAATGAAAAGGTTCGAAAGTTAAAAAACGAAAATTTAAATCAATTATACAATCTGCATTATGTACAATAATCGAAACAAACATGTTACTATAAATTAGTTAAATCACCTTTTTTTATTTATATTATATCAAATTTTTTCAGTTTCATCTCTATCAGACACATTGAAATAAAATAACACGAGAAAAATCGAATAACTACAGAAAAATGTAGAATGTAAAAAAAATCCAGATAAATAGTAAAATTTCCCGACATTTCTCCCTAACAATCCCCGGTTTTCCAGATTTCCCTGACTGCAGCTAAACACCCTGTTCATTCTGCGAGCAATTTTCCGTTCGCATTAAAGAGATGCCGGATGCACCGAGGTTGTTCGAAGGCTCCTCTCGTTCGCTCCCACTAATCTTCCACGGAGGACCGGCGTTTCCTCATCTATCGACCCCCTTCGAGGTTTTTCATTCCTTCCCACTCGCGAGGAGAAAGCGCGAGAAGCCGGCGGGGTTCGATGCGAGCAGCACGATGTCGGCGCGGAATATCGTGGGTCATCACACCGCACCGGGGCCCGTTTCGCAATGATACCGCGCGTCATAAATAACGTTTGTTTCAATGTTAATCTGCGGCTCGGATCAAATCTAATAAGTACAGAGGCGACGCGGAGCAATGCCGATGGCGATTGGCTCGGCGGTATCGGAACGCAGAGGCGAACGTTGGTGAACGGGCGAAAGGGAAGAGGAGAGAGGCCCTCGGGGATGGAGAAAAGGAAGAGAAAAGGGAAGAAGGGGGGGGGGGGGGGAGGAGGGAAGGAGAGGGAGAGGAAGAGGAGGTGGAAGAAGACGAACAAGAAGGGCCGCTCGGCATTGTTCGCGGCCGCTCGCTCGTGACTCGTGACTCTTGCGACCCGGATGACCCCTAGCCTCAATTACCTCAGACACATCCGCCCGCTCGGTCTCTCCCTCTACACCTCATCCCGCGTCTTTATCCCTCCTTCGACGTCCATTCGCGGCCCATGACTTCGTACCGACACGGACGTCGATACTGAACTCCTCTCTTCCTCGAATCGATACAGCTCACCCGGTATATGATAAACTTACCCTCTCGAGAAATTCGAACGATTGCATTCGCTTATGCACGCTCCGATTTAATGGACAGTTTCTTCCTCTGTTTTCTCTCTAGTCGAATATGAGATTTAAATTCGTTATTAGATAGAGCGATGTCACTTCAAACGTTTATAAAGAGTCAACGATACACAATGATAACTTATTAAATATTACGAGGCCAACGAGCAATAAAAAATTATTATAAAACTTGGAAAAACTTTAATTAAAAAAAAAAAAAACCAATTACAAACGTTTCGAACTATACTTAGTCTTCTTCAGTGCGCAATAAACATAATAATAAATAAATAAATATAAATAAAAATTCTAATAAAAAATCGCAATACAGTGTCAAAATAAATTAACTGAGTCAATGATACTTTTTTTGGAGTTAAAAAAATATGCGAGCAAAGTGCGTATAATTATAATCAACCTGCTTCAGAAATTGTTAATAAAATGGGTGGGTAAAATGAGAGACGATAGTTCCGGAACATCTCGTATAAAATGTCGGAATATCAGATATGCGCAATTACAAGGGAAACGCCGACAAGCGGATCCGAATCTTCAATCAGTAAATGTTGAATCGATGCCGGATTCGCGAAATGTATGTATCGGGCATTCAGATGCGAGAGAGTGGCTCGTCTTCGCTCGCCTAAGGAAACTAAATGGCAACCGGTCAGAACTTGACTGTAGATCCTGTCGCGATAAAGCTCTGAAGATTCGAACGTCTCAGTTAGCCGTTTCGGTGCTCAAGGGAATTGGCGGATACGTTCAGACCGTGTGTCAGTCGTTTCCTCGACTTCCGGTAGCCTGCGAAATCGGGATCAGCCTCCTCGACGAAACGCGCGCGCTTTCTTCCCGAAAAATTAAGCGAGAAAAATAATATATCCAAAAATTTAATTATATATTTAATTTAATTTTCCTCCTTTTTTCAAATTAAAAAAAAAATTTAGTTTGAATATTCTTGCAAAACCGAAAAATGTCTTTTGTTTATGGAATATTAAAAGTAAAAAAATTTATATATATATATACATATAAAAGGCAATAAGAGCTAATTAAGTTCTGTGTATTAATATTTATTTGTAGAAAAAAATTTTAAACATAAAATATTAGACAAAAAAGTTAAAATATTAAATAAAAAAATTTATTACATTAATTTAATTAAACGTAATATATCGTAAATAATTGAGAAAAAAATAGATTAATCTAATGAAACATTTCAGGATGGAAATGAGAAGAGAAGAGGAAGCAAGGGAGGCACCGATGTCGAAGGGAATTTAAAGGGCTAAATGTGCCTAAATCGGCGCGCGCGTTGATCCCTATCGCGGAAGGATTTACAAACACGTTTCAAGAGGTCCGTAGTTAATCTCTCCCGGGAAGAGGCGATAGAGGAAAGGTCCGGGGAAAAAGGGAAAAAGAACGGGAAAGGGAGACATTCTCGCGGCTAATAAATTGCGCGCCTTCGCGTAAAAGGTACCTCTACCGAAATTCCAACGCGCGTCCATCTCGACACCATATAACGTATACCGGGCGACTTCCACGACGTGGTCGATAATTAGGCGGGTTATCGTCCGGCCTGACACTATCCCAGGCCGATCTACAAGTGTTTGGAATCCGAACGATTCGTACCGGTTCCTTTCTGTCGTAAAAATTCGACCCTCGCGCGCGTTGACTAATGAAATCGCGCACGCGTGTCCTTTATCACTCGTCTTTCCTTCTTTCTCTCTCTCTTTCTCTCTCTCTGGCGCGGATAAAAATCTCGAAGAGTGTACGGATCGAGAGACAAGTGTCGTGCTAAATAATCCGAGTCATCGGCGCCAAAACAGTGCGAATTTACAAACCTGTAACCGGCTCGTGATCATTAGCGGCGCCCAAGAATGTTAACAGCCGTCGAGAAACGCGATCTTTCGACGACCGAGTCTAAAACTCGCTCCACGAAGTGAGAGAAAATTTCTGTCTCGGTTAAAATTTTTTTTTTTTATTCAAACCCTTGTCGACGCATCGTCTTTGCGAGTTTCTCGATAAAAGAGAGAAAGAGACGTGGACTTGATGATAATTACGGATAATGGGAACGGCGGGTCTTCCATTGCACGCGAGCCGAGCTCCGGCGAACTCGAAGACAAGATCGACAAAGAAGAGAAAAGGAGATCCGGACTGATCTCTCGACATCACACGGACCCGCCCACAACAGAACCGAGGAATCAATGTGTCCAACGAGAAGAGCGACGGAGTTAGAGGTTCAACAAGCAGCTCCGAAATCTCGAGATCAGAGGGCAAGGATGCTCCGAGATCTCACTGAAATTAGTGTCCCGAGGATAATTATTTCGAATAGAGTCATCTCTGTAAGTATTAATTTCTACACATTATCGTATAAATCTTTAAAAAAATATGAGCTTTAAACTTTCTATTATACGGACATATATTTCATCAACGATTACATATTATGTGATTTTTCATGATTTATGACAATTAGATTTTTACAAAGTTAATTAATTGATTAAACTGAACGGAACAACACTAAACCGAGATTGCGTTACACGAGCGCGTTTAGGGGATACGGTCGTAAATGTCAATTGTTGTAACCGTTTAACGGGATCGATGATCGTTTCGAGATACATAATACGTTCTGATCGACATCACACGCCACGACAGAAATTGGTGTATTCGCCGTTTATGAACCGCCGCCGCCGTAGATCCTATCTGAATAATTGCACGAGCCCGATCACGAAGATTCGAGATCAAAGCCGCGGTTTTTTTTCCTCTTTTACAAGCGTCGTAATTGAGCCATGAAAGCGTGACGAAACCGCCTCGCAACTCGACTTGATCCAAAACGTGGGGGACTCGACGTCGCGCGAGACATCCTGACGTCGCGTTCGCCCAGGTGACTCTCTTTGCAGCTCGTTTAAAAACTATAGCACATCAGGGCGGCGAGCACAATTCGCTCGCGGGCAGCGCACGCGACCGTCACGTTATAAAACGTAGGAGCGACGTTGATGGATTTCACGCGGACCGTGCGTTATGAAGACATTAGGAGGGACGGAAAGGTGCATGAAATTGCGAACGTGAAAATGATCGTTAAATTGCGTCCCGACTACAACAACATGCTAACGACGACGATCAGTCCGGGCGTTTCCTCCGTGTCGAAAAGAGAGAGAGAGAGAGGGACAGTGACAGAGAAAGCAGAGAGCGGTTTGAACTTTCGACTGACTCTCCAGAAGCCCTAATTCGTACTTCGTCCATGTCGCGATCATCGACTCTGCGGATCACCCTAAGCGAAGTATAATTGGGCTCGTTAAGACCAGGAGGCATCCGCTGTAATGGCAGAATTCGTGCGACGTCAGGCAGACGAGGCCTGACAGGCAGATTGCACCTGCTCGCGCAGTCAACTCGGCCGACTTCTTAATCCGACAATGAGCTTTCATGATCTCTTCTCATGATCACGTCTCTTCTCGTTGTACATACTTGGCTTGCGCCAGATAGATGTTCGAATTAAATTTCCCGTTATGTGTATATAATTTCGCCATCGCTGAATCGCGACAAGTGACGAATCATTCAAGCGAGAGACGACAACAATGTCTTTTGAACTTTCTCGTTTTAGCACACCTCATCATATCAACTTTTCATTTGCCACGTGTGTATACCTGAGATTTTCTCAGCTTTATAATTTGAACGAAGATAAATTATATATTTTAGGTGCCGTGCTTAGGATTCAGTTTCTACATTAATATACTAAATTATTTTGATAAATGAGTTATATCCTATTAAATTAATTTGAATAAAAATATATTTCGGAAATGCGATTCCCTCTACTAGGATTTAAAAAATTGTACATTCGAAAAATTACACCCCAATTATGCATATTTTCAGAATAGCAAGACGCTGATTATGAGACAATAATTATAAAATTGATTTCAAACACGATCGAGAATTAGAAGTGAATAAAAAATATGCGATCTTATCTTCGGTCATTATGACGACGCTGAGCTGATATTAAGCGTCGTTGAAGATATATCTACTCGTCGAAGCCGGATTTCTCCGGTGCAATTTAAGCAAGAGTCTTGTCACATCAATCGCGAATCCCCGCGGCGATTTGATTAATGCTCGTTATTTTATATACAAGGTGTCCTCTGGAAGGCGCACTTTCTCCTTCAAAATAGATAATGAAATAGATATCAAAAGTCAAACAATTGTTGCTGGAGACATTTAACTTTCCGTACTAGGCCGTACGCGAAAACTTGAAACACTTCGAAACGAATAGAGAAATAATTAGAAAAAATTCTTTGGTCAAATATAATATTAAACTAATTCACTTTGATCTAATTATGAAGACATTGAGATTTAAAAATAAGAAACATGAAGGGAGAGAATGTAATTGAAGTTACCGCGGCGACTCAATAGTTTTCACAGAATCTCTGAAAGGAGAAGAAGCGCATGGCGATGACTTTTGGGACATCTTGTACACATTCTCCGGACTCACACGCGTCACGGTAAGACGCGCAAAAAAAAAAAAATGTAACGCCGAGAGTGATCGAATCACGGCACCTGCCTAAGCGGTCCACTGTAGAAGCGACGGCCGCGGGCAATCTAAAAGCCGCGCGAATTACAGGGTCCGCCATCATTACTCGCGAAGAAAGGAAGCGGCTCCGGCAAGAGAAAAAGAGAGAGAGGATGAGGATAGGGGGACGAGCGCGAAGGGACTCTTATGAAATAATTGCGGATTTCGCTATCTGATCGCGACATAGATGGCCGTATAGAGAGCGCCAAATGGAAGAAAGCTATCTACGTCACGTACGTTCTCCGCGTTTGCGGAGAGAAGTACGTGACCCCGAAACTTTTGACCTGCGACCTTTGAAAGGTGCTCGAAAAGGCGTCCGCGACGATAAAACGACGTGGTCCGAAAGATAATTCGCGATTCCCTTCTTGCTACCTTTTCCTTTTAATCGAGGAAACGGGGCCACGTCGCCGTCGTTATTTTCAGAGCGACGAGTTATCGCGCAGAATCTTAATATATTAATATTTAATGTGAAACACACCGCGAAGATGTAACCGAGAATGCTCTGTCGATCTGTCTTGCACAATATGCTCCTATCGTTATCGATTATCGTATATAACTCGGGATCAAAAGACAAACTTGATCAATTTTTGTTAAATTTTGATTATAAAAAATAGTCATTTCTAATAAAAATTTATATAGCATCTCTTAAAAAAAAAAAACAAAAAGAAAGAGATATATTTTGTGTAAGTAATCGTACTCTCAAAGCTATAGATAAATATTTTAATCCAGAGAAAATTTTCAAATAACTAAATTGAAATAATTAATCAAAGCTCTAGATTTTTCTTTTAAAACAGATTCGTGCGTAAAAGAATTAAATTTCCTTAACGCAATTTTTTTGTCACAAGCGTTAAATCGGTGTGACGGTGTAATCGATATAATGATGCATCGGTTTCCGCAAGATTCGCAAACAATGAACCAACTAGCCAGCGACCACCAACGACGTTAAGAAAGACCACCAGCAGTAGCTGGTCCCTATTATCGGCGTTGCGAATGTTCTGTCGCGTGGCTCACGCAGGTCCGTTTTTTTTCCTTTACGGGGAATCAGGCATTTTCGGAAAGAAAAGGTCGAATCTATCGCTAACACGTGCCGCACCGTGTTGCCACGACGACAAAAGTTACTGCCCATTTTTTCGCTCCCTCGTTCTCGACATCGCAGCAAAATACCTGTAAAGAGATCTCAAAGACGAAGGTAAAAGAAATCCCAGAGTGGACAAAACAAAACTCGAGCAAAATCGTCATTCGTCGAGTGTCATGACTCGTCACACGGTATATATGTATATTGAAGTAAAATGGATTTAAATTTATATACGACACATTTAAGAGAAGTGACGAAAATTTATTTTATTATAAATAAAGAATGAGCTAACTTTTACGAATGTATATAAATTCAGAAAAGTTAGCGATATATACACTCCTCAAAATAATTAAGGGATTAAAAAATATCCAAAAAATAGGCAAATTTTAAATAACTGTAACTTTGTTTCCAAAAATAATAATTTAAATTTTAAAAAAGGACTTTAAAGCTTGAAATCTCTGCTTTTGAAAGATTATAGCTTTTTTTATTTTCTTCAATTCTGATATTTTGTACATACAGAAAACGACGAAAAATTTTCTTCTCACTTTGTAGACATGCACATGCACAAAAAAATTTTAACAATTTTTTGACATTTTTATGTTAAAGCCTGAAGTATTCCCTGCAAAATCGTTTTTTAAAATTTAAATTTTGATCTTTTTTTATCAAGTTATCGCAAATTGAAGAGAAAATGTCATTTTTACTTTGATCGTTCGTAACTTCGTTAAAAATCGCCGTACAGCAAGTTTAAGAATGGATTCTTAAAGCTGAATCTTTGCTCTGTAGTATGATATAAAGACTGAATTTTGTTTAACTCGTGAACTTTTTAGAAATAGAAGAAAATAACGAAGAAATTCGCGAGTTTTCTCCTTTTTGTTTAAACTTTGAAAAACCTTCGAAAAATAAAATTACGTAAAGTGACTCGCGAATTGAAGAAAATGAAAAAAGCTATAATTTTTCGAAAGTACAGATTTCAAACTGTAAAACCCTTTTTTTAAAAATTTAAATTATCATTTTTCAAAACAAAGTTACAGCTATTTAAAATTTGCCTATTTTTTGGACAATTTTTTGGATCCCTTAATTATTTTGAGGAGTGTACCTACATTTATCTATCTCTCTATACTTCTCTGACTTTATTGAATGATAACTTGAAGAAACTCTGTTTTAACAATAAGAGAGATATATTATATATAAATTGGATCAATTTATATCAATCATTTTGATTAATGTTAATAGCGATCTTTCTAGCGAGCGGTCATTTAATTGGGTCTTAAAGCCTCCGACGCGCCGGCGTCAGCTGGAAGCTCAAACGTCTGCGCACGCATCTAATCACCTTTTGAAAAATGATTCATTAGGGAACTGATCAACGAATCAAAACGAAATGGGGGAGGAGGAGAGACTTTGAGAGATCTAGCGCCTTCTGCGAGTCCGCGTGTTGCCATAGCGACGTTGCGTCGGGTTCTTGATGCCGAGGGTGGCGGCCGAAGGGATGCGGCGCGGATGAGAGATAAATGTAATGCGTTGTAACGAGGGGGGAGGCACAGGCAGAGGGCGATTGTAGGGATTCTGCCGAGTACCACTCCATTGTGCGGCGCGACTAACTGACTCGGCCCAAACAATTTGTCGGCGTGTGCAAGACGCGCGCTCTCTCGACACCCTCCTTCGGTCGTTGCAGCGAGCGATCTCTTTTACGGGGTTGTTTGCGAATCCAGTGG